TAAATTCTAATTTTAGTTATGTCGATGAACTTCTTTTGTTTTTGAACAACTTGGTTTGGTGTTATTTATAAACTGTTGCTATGACTCGCTTGCCTGTTACATCTCGTGTTTCCACTTTAGCGGGGTGTGACAGATTTGGTATCAGAGCCTCAGTTATAGAGAACACTGGTTTTCTTTAGAAACCATCGACTATAACCAAAAATTTTCCAAATAATTTTCAAGAAATCTGAAATCATGTGTTTTAAAGCAGGTCTTGTTGTTACATGTCGATTAAGTAAAGCCTGATCACCTGTGCTTAATTTATGTGTAATGAGAAGAACTTAATCGATCTGAACAAGAGGTATGCTCCAGCAAAAGAAATTGTGATGAAAAGCATGAGTTTTGTTGCACTTTTATGAATAACCGATTCCTAGGACCAGAGGCGCTGGTCAAGAGGACCAGAGGTGAAGGGTAGAAAACCCCTTAATTTAGCTAAGTGTCCGTGTAGGACCAGAGGCGCTGGTCAAGAGGACTACAGGCGATGGGTAGTAAACCCCTTAATTTAGTTAAGTGTCTGTGTAGGACCAGAGGCGCTGGTCAAGAAGACCAGAGGCGATGGAAAGTAGATTCTTCAATTTCAATTGTGTCCATGTTAAACCAGAGGCTCTGGTTAGATGGACCAGAGGATCGATGGACGGATTGCTTAGTATTTTCTAAGTATAGAGGTTGAACCAGAGGCTCTGGTCTTTGCAACCAGAAGCTCTGGTAAGTGCCCAAAGAAGAACCAGAGGATCGATGGACGGATTGCTTTGTCTTTTTCTAAGTATAGAGGTTGAGCCAGAGGCTCTGGCCTTTGCAACCAGAAGCTCTGGTAAATGCACCATGAGGAACCAGAGGATCGATGGGTGGATGGCTTAGTGTTCTTCTAAGTGTAGGAGTTGAAACAGAGGCTCTGGGCTAGCAACTAGAAGCTCTGGTAAAGGCGAGCAGAAGAACCAGAGGACCGATGGATGGAATACTTAGAATTTTTCTAAGTATAGATGTTGCAACAGAGGCTCTGGTCTCGTGACCAGAAGCTCTGGCAAGCGCCCTATGAGGAATCAGAGGCTCTGGCCTTATTACCAGAAGCTCTGGTAAATGAACCATGAGGAACCAGAGGATCGATGGACGGATGGCTTAGTGTTTCTCTAAGTATAGATGAGGAATTAGAGGCTCTGGTCTCGTGACCAGAAGCTCTGGCAAGCGCACTATGAGGAACCAGAGGCTCTGGCCTTATTACCAGAAGCTCTGGTAATTGCGTCAGGGGGAACCAGAGGATAGATGGACGAAAGATCTATAATTATTCTAAGTATGAAGGTTAAAGCCAATGGTTGAAAAAGATAGAATTCCTTTGGATTGTCAGAAAACCGATGGATAAGAAATCCTTCTCTAAGGACTTTAGTACAACCAGAAGCTCTGGTCTCACGACCAGAAGCTCTGGTRGTGTAACCAGAGGTGTTGTCCAGAGAATCCAGCATGATTGTCATGACTAAGTTTTGTTCAGAAGCTTCTATTGTATCACTAAGCGTTTGTTAGATGATGCACTTTAGTAACTAAGATTATTCATGTCGCAGATCTCCACAATGTCTTCCGATCCGAGTGAATACTCAGCCGATGAATCCGGTTATGTAGTTGGTCGCTCTAGAAGGAACTCAACCCACAAATAAGAAATAGACCCGTACGAGCAAGATACGGCAATAAGTGATGCAGTTGCCACGCCTCAAGTATCTTACTTACCCCCAACGGAGCCGGTACCTGATGTTCCGCCATGAACCCACCATGGCCCAAGCATCAGAGTCACGCCCAGAAAGTGTGTTCCACTACCGTAGCGGGTGACATTCGAGAACTCTCATTGGGACGTAGGGGAGTCATCCCGACCCTATGTAGGGAGCAGAATGACCCAAATCGTGACCGGGATACCTGCGTCTTACTCTCAAGGGATGAATCCAACTGAAAGAGATTGGGTGAGGAGGATTACAGCTGACACGCAAGTTCACCAGTCTCAGCTAGCACATCACCGGTACATCTTAAACAACCTGTCCGATGTATTGGAAGCGCACCACCAGAGCATAATCAAGAACAGAGAGGCTGTTGTGGCAGTCAGGCGGGAAATTAGGAAGTTTTATGGGTGGTTGGTAATTTGTGGTATGATGATGTTGGCATTGGGAATAGCCATAGGATGGATGTTGTTCTAGATTAAGAAGGAAGGATAGGACACTTGCTCCTATGTACTATTGTTAGAAATCATGTTTTGTACCTCCCCCACTAATTATCAATATATGATTACCTTTTGAAGAATGCTCATCTATGTCGGTTCATTGTATGAATGAGTTTTCTCTAGTTCGGTTATAGTAATATTTGATTATTTTCCATGTGAAGAACACTTTTGGTTTCATCGAAATATCTGGGAAGCTATCCCTCTTGTTTTGCCATCAAATTTATGAATTCTATTCGGATTAGGATCTAAAGAAATGCCGCCAAGGAGGGAGAATCCCGATATATCGTAACTCGTGTCAGATCAACTTATTGCCGCACTTCCCAATATAGTNAGGCGATGGGTAGTAAACCCCTTAATTTAGTTAAGTGTCTGTGTAGGACCAGAGGCGCTGGTCAAGAAGACCAGAGGCGATGGAAAGTAGATTCTTCAATTTCAATTGTGTCCATGTTAAACCAGAGGCTCTGGTTAGATGGACCAGAGGATCGATGGACGGATTGCTTAGTATTTTCTAAGTATAGAGGTTGAACCAGAGGCTCTGGTCTTTGCAACCAGAAGCTCTGGTAAGTGCCCAAAGAAGAACCAGAGGATCGATGGACGGATTGCTTTGTCTTTTTCTAAGTATAGAGGTTGAGCCAGAGGCTCTGGCCTTTGCAACCAGAAGCTCTGGTAAATGCACCATGAGGAACCAGAGGATCGATGGGTGGATGGCTTAGTGTTCTTCTAAGTGTAGGAGTTGAAACAGAGGCTCTGGGCTAGCAACTAGAAGCTCTGGTAAAGGCGAGCAGAAGAACCAGAGGACCGATGGATGGAATACTTAGAATTTTTCTAAGTATAGATGTTGCAACAGAGGCTCTGGTCTCGTGACCAGAAGCTCTGGCAAGCGCCCTATGAGGAATCAGAGGCTCTGGCCTTATTACCAGAAGCTCTGGTAAATGAACCATGAGGAACCAGAGGATCGATGGACGGATGGCTTAGTGTTTCTCTAAGTATAGATGAGGAATTAGAGGCTCTGGTCTCGTGACCAGAAGCTCTGGCAAGCGCACTATGAGGAACCAGAGGCTCTGGCCTTATTACCAGAAGCTCTGGTAATTGCGTCAGGGGGAACCAGAGGATAGATGGACGAAAGATCTATAATTATTCTAAGTATGAAGGTTAAAGCCAATGGTTGAAAAAGATAGAATTCCTTTGGATTGTCAGAAAACCGATGGATAAGAAATCCTTCTCTAAGGACTTTAGTACAACCAGAAGCTCTGGTCTCACGACCAGAAGCTCTGGTAGTGTAACCAGAGGTGTTGTCCAGAGAATCCAGCATGATTGTCATGACTAAGTTTTGTTCAGAAGCTTCTATTGTATCACTAAGCGTTTGTTAGATGATGCACTTTAGTAACTAAGATTATTCATGTCGCAGATCTCCACAATGTCTTCCGATCCGAGTGAATACTCAGCCGATGAATCCGGTTATGTAGTTGGTCGCTCTAGAAGGAACTCAACCCACAAATAAGAAATAGACCCGTACGAGCAAGATACGGCAATAAGTGATGCAGTTGCCACGCCTCAAGTATCTTACTTACCCCCAACGGAGCCGGTACCTGATGTTCCGCCATGAACCCACCATGGCCCAAGCATCAGAGTCACGCCCAGAAAGTGTGTTCCACTACCGTAGCGGGTGACATTCGAGAACTCTCATTGGGACGTAGGGGAGTCATCCCGACCCTATGTAGGGAGCAGAATGACCCAAATCGTGACCGGGATACCTGCGTCTTACTCTCAAGGGATGAATCCAACTGAAAGAGATTGGGTGAGGAGGATTACAGCTGACACGCAAGTTCACCAGTCTCAGCTAGCACATCACCGGTACATCTTAAACAACCTGTCCGATGTATTGGAAGCGCACCACCAGAGCATAATCAAGAACAGAGAGGCTGTTGTGGCAGTCAGGCGGGAAATTAGGAAGTTTTATGGGTGGTTGGTAATTTGTGGTATGATGATGTTGGCATTGGGAATAGCCATAGGATGGATGTTGTTCTAGATTAAGAAGGAAGGATAGGACACTTGCTCCTATGTACTATTGTTAGAAATCATGTTTTGTACCTCCCCCACTAATTATCAATATATGATTACCTTTTGAAGAATGCTCATCTATGTCGGTTCATTGTATGAATGAGTTTTCTCTAGTTCGGTTATAGTAATATTTGATTATTTTCCATGTGAAGAACACTTTTGGTTTCATCGAAATATCTGGGAAGCTATCCCTCTTGTTTTGCCATCAAATTTATGAATTCTATTCGGATTAGGATCTAAAGAAATGCCGCCAAGGAGGGAGAATCCCGATATATCGTAACTCGTGTCAGATCAACTTATTGCCGCACTTCCCAATATAGTCAGCCAAGTGGCTGCAGGCTTGAACGCCAACCAACCCTCAAACTCTGAGTCTAGGCCTCCTCGGGAATGCACTTACAAAACTTTTAGAGCTTGCAACCCCAAAGAATTCAATGGAACCAAAGGAGCAGTAGGATTACTATCATGGCTTGAGAGCATGGAGTTTGTTCTTCACATTAACAAATGTACTGAAGGAAATAAGGTAGAGTATGCAGCATGCCTATTGCAAGGAAGGGCGCTCACTTGGTGGAATACCTTAGTACAAACCAGAGGCCGAGAAGCGGCTAATCAGCTTTCCTGGAAATAATTTAAGAAATTGCTAAAGGATGAATACTGCCCGAGAAGTGAACTCCAAAAGCTGGAAATGGAGTTATGGAACCTCGAAATGAAAGGAGACAATATATCTGCATACACAGCGAGATTTCACGAATTGGCAAACCTTGTGCCGCATCTTGTGAAACCAGAGGAAGTTCGTATAGAAAGGTATATTTGGGGATTGTCTCCAGAAATTAGGGGAAACATTACCTTGGCCAACCCAAAGACTCTTCAGGAGGCAACAGAAATTGCCAGAAAGCTCACGAATAATGTTGTGCGATCTGGAGGATTTGCTAAAGGAAAGCGAAAGATGGAGGAGCATGGAGATCGAAGAATTGGAGGGAAGTTTGACAGAAGCAGGAGGGTAASAAGGAATTTTGGAGCTCAAACGCAGGTGGTAGGACAAGATGACACAGTTAGATGCAATAACTGCAAATTTCCGAATCGGGGGAATTGCATAATCTGCCAAAGGTGTCATCTAGGGGGTCACACAGCAAAGGACTGCCGGAAGCGGTTATGTTTCGACTGTGGAAGTCCAGAATAGATAAGGAATGTTTGCCCAAAAAGGAAAGCAGGGGCAAATGCAAACCAGACTCGATAGGTCAGTTCCGGCAACACAGGAAGTCAGGCTCGAGGAAGAACATTTGAATTGGGAACCAGGGAAGCTAGAGAGGATCCAAACATGGTTTCAGGTACGTTTCCTCTGAATAATGAATTTGCATCGGTTCTATTTGATTCAGGGGCAGACAGAAGTTTTGTGTCACTAGACTTTAAGCAGAAAATTAACTTAAAGCCCCAGAAATTGAAAGAATCCTTTGTAATCAAGTTTGCCAATGGTCAGGAATTCAAAGCTAGAAGCGTATTTACGAATTGCACTCTGAACTTAGCCAATAAGGACTTTAGCATAGACCTTATACCGATCGAACTAGGAAGTTTTGACATAATTGTAGGTATGGATTGGCTATCCAAAAACCAAGCTGAGATTGTATGTTCAGAGAAGCTTATCCAAATTCCTCAAGAGGGATTGGAACCAATTGTGGTTCAGGGAGACAAGTTAGATCGAAAGATTAAGTTGGTATCCTGCATGAAGATGCAGACGTATCTGAAGAAAAAGTACACTGCATACCTGGCACATGTGATTGACGGAAAGATCAAGGAGAAAAGTATTAAGGAATTACCTGTAGTTCGGGAGTTTTCCAATGTTTTTCCTAGGGACTTACCAGGCCTACCCCCATAACGACAAGTCGAATTCGGTATCGACTTAATTCCTGGAGCTGCCCCTGTGGCAAGGGCACCATACCGTTTGGCACCATCGGAAATGCAAGAAATGTCGACCCAACTCCAGGAGTTACTAGACAGAGGATTCATAAGACCAAGTTACTCACCCTGGGGTGCACCAGTACTATTCGTTAAAAAGAAAGATGGGTCAATGCGAATATGCATTGATTATAGAGAACTTAATAAGTTGACCATCAAGAATAGATACCCTCTCCCTAGAATCGATGACCTGTTCGATCAACTCCAAGGGGCAGTCTATTTTTCCAAAATTGACTTGCGATTCGGGTATCACCAGGTGAGGGTTCGGGAAGAGGACATTCCCAAAACAGCCTTCAGGACCCGGTACGGTCATTACGAGTTTATGGATATGCTATTCGGGCTAACCAATGCACCACCTGTTTTCATGGACCTAATGAATAGAGTTTGTAGGCCGTACCTGGATAAATTCGTAATCGTCCTCATAGACGACATATTAATTTATTCAGGAAGCCGAGAAGACCATGAGCGACATCTGACGGTAATTTTGGAAGTACTCCGAAACAAGAAGTTGTATGCCAAATTTTCCAAATGTGAATTCTGGTTACATGAAGTTCAGTTTCTGGGCCATGTAGTCAATGAAAGAGGAATTCAGGTAGACCTGCCAAGGTTGAGGCCATTAGGAATTGGGAAGCCCCAAGAACCCCTACAGAGATCCGACAATTCCTTGGGTTAGCAGGCTATTATCGGCGATTCATCGCAAACTTTCCGAAAATTGCACAGCCGCTCACAGCCTTAACCCAGAAGGACAAGAAGTTTATTTAGGGTGAGAAACAAGAGGAAGCATTCGAGACTCTCAAGCAGAAACTATGCAATGCGCCTATCTTATCCTTACTAGAGGGTTCGGAAAACTTCGTGGTCTTTTGTGATGCATCGCATCAAGGTTTAGGATGCGTATTGATGCAAAAAGATAAGATCATTGCATAGGCCTCGAGACAACTTAAAGTGCATGAAAAGAATTATACTACGCACGACCTTGAATTGGGAGCAGTAGTATTTGCACTTAAGATATGGAGGCACTATCTTTATGGCACCAGATGYACCATTTWCACTGATCATAAAATCCTTCAACACATCCTCAATCAGAAAATGTTGAATATGAGGCAAAGAAGATGGGTTGAACTGCTTAGTGATTATGATTGTGAGATTAAATACCATC